GTATATTATATTTATGCATAACAAATGTTATTTAAGTCATTAAGTAAAGCACGCATATAATATCAAATATGAAAGCTTCTCTTGAGTTTTATGCCATAGTTATGAACTCATTTTGCGTATTTATTTATTAAAGTTATAACGACTTAAAGGGCGTGTTCCCATGTGGTAAAAGGAAAGAACTACCGTCAAAGTGCTTCCTGGATTGTGGCCATTCTAAACAGGAAAAGATATCAAATTTGTTTTTTTTTTCATTTCATGATTTATACTGACTTCCTGATCCTGAGCTCCTTATATACTACTTACTTCCGGAATGAAAAACCGCCTCTGGCAACTTATATACCGTCATCGGCATTTCACCCTACTAAACTATACCTTATATTCTTTTTGTGTACTTCCTACCCACTTTTCAATGTTATGCTGTAGGTACATCCTATATATACGTCATAAGATCTGACACAATTAAGAGTATCTCCTGTGAGTCATGAAACAGTACATTTTCCGTGTGTGGAGAGGGTGAAAATCGCTTTTTGAACGTTCGACTGGATTTTCGTTCCCTGGGGCTTTATATGGTAGACGGAGGATGGGAACTTTGTTAGGTACACCTTTTTGGGGACAGAAAATCATTTTAAACAGCGAATATTCGGCGAGGGTATTATTCAACAGGGCGACGTTTTTCCCAGAGGGTCCTCGTCGCTCATGATTCGATATTTTTCCCTCGTTTTCACTATTGTGATCGTATTCTCCGAAGTACACTTTGCAAAAACGGGCGTCCACCCCATTTTTCACAACGACATCACCTCCCTCGGATGGGGTGCCACAAAGAAACTACGATGATAATCGCCCACGGACAAGCAAAAAATACACTGAACCAATTAGACTAAAGTTTTTACATTTTTTTCCCCTTCAAATGTTTTATTAGTGTTTTTCTGTACAAAAAAATGGTTATTTTATTTGTTTTTTCATCCCCAAAAATGATTAGAAATACCTACTTTTCTTTGCTCGTTATGAAAATGTTACAAATATAAAAATAATTTTGAGATTATAGAAAATAACTAACGATGAATATTTTCTTATATAATATATTGTAATTTCAATAAATAACAAGAATATTAATTACAACACAATATATCACATATGTGACCATTATAATTACTTTATTCCTGAATTATGTACATACTAATTTTTACATTTAAAACAGTACCTACCTATATTAATTCGTTCACTTCGTAATGAAAAGTTATTCAAAAGTAATTTATTAAAAATTTGCTTTTGTTTTTGTAACTCAAGAACCTGAATCAATAGTTTAGTTAACATTTCTTATTGTAAAATCATTTGAAAACGATCTACAAGTTATTCAGATAAAGGATAACAAATACTTATTATAATACTTATTATACCTACCTACCTATTGGCTATTAAAACTCATACAACCCATACAAAACTACAAGTACAAATATATTCTTATAATACAGATATATAACAATTTAAACAAAATGCGTATATTATAAGCGTCTAGAATCCACTTATACAAAGACATTGCCATAGAGTAGGTACTAATTGTATTTTAAATCTGTAAGCCTTTTCAGAAGACGAGTAATCTTACACTGCCAACAAAACTTTTGTGTGACTTTATTGATTGCAGGTGTTATTGTTCTGAATTTAATTGGAAAACTTGAGGTATTCTTTGGCAGTTTCGCAAACCAGAAACGCAAAATTAATAACGACTTTTGATCTACAAAAGAGGATATCTCCTGGAAATGCGACACGGACTTTGAGAAAGAGATTTTTTCAGCCCTTCGCGTAAACAAAAGGGTACAAATTGAAAACGAAAACGACACCACATCGGCCTGTGTGTAAGGGTGTATAATAATAAACACCCAGCTGACAGATCGAGGAAACACGAAACCCTCTCTCAGTCGTGAATTCAACAGTAGATAAATATAATCCTCGACAAAAATATTTCTTCTTTACATTCTAATAAAAAAACTTGCATGTCCTTTAGTTTTCTGTTTATCGATTCACTTGGTTTCATATTAGGCAGAAAGTAATGTACATAGAGATTGAGAACAGGGAGAAAAAAATACAATAAACATCACAAAGAGCACATGAATAATACATGATTTCCGTTGTTAATGTTTCTTTTTGGCAACATTGACTAATATTTGATTTGCTACGAAACGCACCCCTTAACCAACGTAACGCGTCTACATAAAGTTTTAATTGAAAATCACCATATCTGTATGTGACAGATCTACTTGTAATATATAAGGATAACTTTTCATTTTGTGTATTCAAGAGTAAATAATGTATCACATATAGTTCGAAGGTTTGTAATAATGGCCAATATTTAAATATAGTAAATATACCAGTAATGTGAAGCTTAGTGCATTTAGGCATATTGTATAATGTATTAATGTATATATTTTATTGAAAAACCCTAACCATTATATTTTGTTCTTGAGTTGTTTTTATCTAAGATGGCAATAAATTATTATAATTACAATTAGGTATTGTTTAACAATAAACATAGTAATTATTTTTTTTAATGTGTCTTAAGTTCTGCGTGATACACAACAGTAATTTAATGAATAATTTATTATTATTATATTACATATTATGTGTATACTTTTATCCTATTTATTAATATTATTATTATTTTTTTTATTGATCTTTAAAGCCCGGCGACTGTGGCAATTAGCTGATTGTGGGGTTGTATGATTGTAGGTATTAGGGTTTGTAATGGTAGGGTTTTTACACGTGTGTGTTGTATTTGGTAGAATTTTTGATTGGGCAGTGGGCACCCGTAAGTATCTGCCATGCCCGGGTGGCGGATGGAGGCACTTGTTCTCCGGACACCGTGACTTGTTCGAAGAAAAATGCCGTCCGTGGCCAAGGAATCGAACTCGGGTCGGCTGCGTCGCAGCCGACGCCTTAGTCCCCTCTTCCTCTCTGTCCCCCAATATTATTATTATTCATTTACATAAATAGTATAAACCCAAAACCAAACTGTTATATACATGGTAAAAATTTGTTAAAATTTGTTTAGTTCAATATTAATAGAACTATGGATAACGTCATGATTTAGTTATATTTATAGCATATATTTACGAGTACATTATGTTATACTGTGGTAGTAAAATAGAGTACTTTCAAGATAATAAGAATACAATTTTCTTTTAATTCTCTTAACTTCAAAATATTAAAAAGTAGGTATACTTCATCGTTTTAGATGACTTTTTACTGTATAAATAGGTACTATATTATACACCATACAGTACTCAGTACTAATACTTATAAAATATTATACATAATTATTAATTTTTTATATTCCATAAAAATTAAATAGCTATCTATGTTTAAATTATATATAGATAGGAATCCAGTGACGTACACAACAATTTCCAATAAGAGGGAGGGTTATATTAAATACATACAAATATATATCGGGTATTTTATATAATATTGAAAAACATCAGGGGTTTGAACACCTATACGCTATACCCCTTCAGCACATGTTTACACCACTGTATTTCTCCTATCAATTATTCTATTGCATTAGAATTGAATTCTATTGAAAAAATGACTGCATAATTATAAACTCAAAATATTATAAAAACATTAAATTAAATTTTGAATTTTGAATTATTTTGAAAATAGTATGCTATGTACCTAATTTCATTGATTTATACTTAATATTCTATCTTACAAATAGAGGCAAAGCTTTAGTTAGCTATTTAAGAACTTTTCAGTCATAAAATCATTAGTCATCCCAGTATTTAATTAATCCCAATAGTTTCTACTTTCTTCGAATAGCAAATGTATTAATTTTCAAAGTATATAATATAGTATACCTAATATACATTATAACATGTTTACATAAACTCTAGCTTAAACATTTGGAATTGGAAATCTATGGTACCTAGTCAATTAATTTACGGAATGATATTTGTATTTATGTTACTTATTTAGTTACATTCGTATAATTAATGAACTCATATTGACAAATATTCACATAAATTGCACATAACTCCAGTGATATAATACTATAGTATAGATATACTAAATGAATGGTTTCATACCGATTTGCGCGTGTTCGTCTAGTAAAATTAATAACTACTAAATAGGTATAATATTGAGTTGATAGAAAATACTTAAAAAAGTTTAATGTTAATAGTTATTTTAATTTTTGCTTAAACTCAAACAAGTTAAAAGTTATATGGAAACTTACAATTAACTAAATTAACGTATTAATACTGAAGTAAAATTTTTTTTTAATAGGTATATATATTTAATTGTGACGATGATATTTTCTAATGTTATTGAGAGTTGTACAATATACAGTTGTACCTATATCCTACATAATATTAGTAGATATTGAATATTTATTTTTATAAACATGGAATATTATGCATTATTAATATTATTATTAAAATATGCTTGTATGCCGCAGTATTGTATATTGGTATGGTATATATGTGTTTAATCAAGTTATTTTTATTGAACAAGAATAAGAATTAAATATAGTTAAATTTATAAATTTCTACTTTAGTAAATGCTTATACATCATCAATAATAATATCGTTATTTATTAAGTTTATATCAATAAAAATCAGTTAATAAAAATTGAATTCTATAAAGTTAAGTTGAAAAGATAAAATAAAAACTAGTAAAAATATAACTGGCAAAGTGCTTTTATTGGAAAGCTTCTTTAATCAGTCTTTTTCAAGTCATAAATTCATCCATATTTTTTACGTATTGTTGTAACCTAGTTGGTAACAGATTTTAAGTTGTATTGTACAAATCAAAAAATAATAATACAAGTTAAAATTAACTTAACTTTAACTTTTTAACTCGATTATGCGCCAGGCCCGCTATTAATCTTAGGCAATACGCATACCTATCATGCCGTCATGTCATACGAATAGTAAAAGTTGTGTAAATGAAAACACATAGATTTTACTAGTTAATATTATTGCCGTCTGCCAACAACAACAATCGCAATGATATTGTCCCATTGGCCATTGTGCTCTTCCGATATAAATTTGCATTCGAACATCATTAATCACGTCCGGAACCCAATCCATATTGTTATAATGGAAGCCGATCCCCTTCACCAGATTCCCAAGCCAAAACAAACAGACGACTCAATCAGAAATACAGCAGTAAATGACGTCATCGACACAAAAGAGTATAATATTATTTTTGAAGTGCATTATTGTCGGAGATTTTATTTATTTTTTAAGCGATGCAATGCATGGGGTGGACTTCGTAATTCCAAAATACATTGTGATTTTACACCCCAAGTGCCACCTCAACTGTTACTGCGTGTTGTAGCAAAACAGCATATTAAACACAGCATAGGTACATAATATACAGCTGACGAGTGACGAGAGAATAAGACGATTCGGAACAACGCGTGGAAACCTCGGTTGTATACAACAGTCACTATAATACTGTATTATAGTGTAATATAGTCACTATCCACCGCAATGAAATCCAACCGTCGTTCTCGTTTTTATAATCGGTTACGATTTTCAGCGGTAAACGTGTTTGAAATAAAATTAATTTTTTCTTATCAAAATATTATGATCAACGTCCGCGTTAGGTACTATTATCGTGTAGTTCTCGCGGTTTTATTACTCTAACGCGTCAGACCATTAACAAAAGTCAAACTTTTATTCGTGGCCCTAATCAAATTGTACACCCATTTGGTATTCATGTCGTTTTCTCCTGAAGATTGCGCACATTAAAAATGAAAACTAATATTTTGTTCCAAACTCATACTTCAAAAGATTAAAGTCTTGAAAATATACATATCTATTTACTCAAGGTTAAGTATGCTATAATTATTATGCGGTAAATCAGATATCTGACCCATTTAAGCGTCCTACGCATTATTATTTATTTAGGCACATATTATACTGCTGCAGTAGTATCGCATAATATAATAATATGTATTATTGTATTATATTATATAGGTAATATCTGAACCTCATGTGAACTTATTATTTGTCATGCAGCTATTAATTCCTGAAGAAAAATAAAGAATTGAATTACCTATATATCCATACGCTTGAGTACAAAGTGAGTTAGAATATTGTGCAGAAAATGATCCACCTAAAACCTAATTCCTTAATTTAATACTTATTTTATCATATTCTGATAGGTAATTGGTAAAGCGCAATTTTTGATTTATATTTTCATTTCACTCGAATTCCTTATAAAAAGGTTGTTTGATGCAATTTGCTCGTGGTCGAGTGCTCGTTATTTCACGATATCCCATATTATTGATTGGTAGTGAATACACAAATTATTTAGGGGTAATGTTCGAGAGCCTTTCAGGATTTAACCTCCCGTGATGTTGTAAATTAGACAACGGGTAATTGTCCCACAGTGAAGTGATTGTTCCCAAAAGCCCCTAGTTCTTTTTTTCGATAATTTTTCAGACCAAAATGTAAAACAATTGTTGCACTCAATCACAAAATGATTTACATTTATTTACATGGCAAACGTGTAATTTCTTATAACTCATTTCCATTAATTTTAAAAATAAAAGGTTTCACCCGTAACAATCCCGAACCAATTTTAATTAATGTTTCCATTCTATTTAGTGAATGCTATAGGTAGGTACTAATGTACTATAATAAATAAGTAAAATCCTTCAATATTATACCGTAGAACTACTGTCAAAGAATCTGTATATTAATTTTTTAGTATTTAATTTTTTTCTTGAATTTGGGCATTCAAGTAAGTGCAACGCTTATATTCAATCCCCTATATATTTTACACCTACTTAAACGTTATACTTAATGGTTTTCATCATTAAAAGTTGTAATTTATTTTTAAATACGTTTAAGTCAAACTCAGTTGTAGTAGGTATAATAAAACAGGTGAAATAAAAATGCCATTAAAAAGGATTAAATATATATTTTAATAAGAACTAATCCATGAACATTTTTCAAAAAACAAGCCTCCTTAATCATTATTTAAAATAAGAAAAAAAAATATGAATGTCAACCAAAAAAAAAGAGTATAAGTGGATGTTGCTCTGCAGTACAGTAGGTTACTGTATAATGGTATTAAATTTTGATTCAATGATATAGTATCATTGTATACGAAAAACGTTTTTGAGCGGAGACGGTTTGTCAGTGTGAATATTTTATATTATATTTATATTGTTGTTAAATTGAAAATGTCCGTAAACACTTCAAAACGAGTCAAAATATTTTGAAAATGTTATCGTGTATAGAAAATTATATATTATATAAACCAATTTTACAATATTATTTATTTTCATTACTAATTCTTGTAATATAGACCTATAACCTATTACACTATACATTATCGTTCTCCATCGGTCTTGTAAAAATAGTTTATTACATAGGTAGTAAAAATATATAGGAAGTAGGTAATATTCAATATAGTAATGTAAATATGTAATTATATTGAGTTTTAAATCAATGACGATAAATTGATAAGCCATTTTTGGAAAATTACTGGAAATTACAACAAAAAAAACAGACTTACCTGACAAGATAATATCTGCAGAAAGAATTTAAAAATAAATTTTATATCATTATCTAAAAAGAACATAAAAAAGTAAGTAAATAATAAGGTTTATATGTCATATAAATACAATTATTTTGTAGTATCGTTTAATTTTTAGCGTTTATTTTTACAATATTAATATTATGGGTGAATAAGTTTAGCTGATGAGTGATTTATTGTTTGATTTTTAATTTACCTGGTTGAACTAAATATAAATGTATATTAAAAATAACCAGGGACTTGTGTAGTAAGGGAATTGAATACTCACCCCAAGTAGGGAACTTTTTTAGCTTATAGGGATGGCAGCATTACTGCAGGTGGCGCAGCTTCTAAAAATGTAGTCATAGAAAACAGTTTAAAAAATTCATAAATTAGACAATTATTTTTAAAGAAACTCGAAGACTTAGGAGGACGCTACCTGGGTAGTTGGCCATTCATTTGTTGTCTTCGTCTTACAAATTTACGACATGACAAATTTTCGTTCACTAGTTTCAATAGTGTGCTGTTTATTTTGACATTACCCTAATATCACTCTGAACAGACCTATCATCAAATTTTTAGATAAGAACATTATCTGTACTTTAGAGTATTTTTAATTTGTTATATTTCACAAACCCATAACTTGCTTGAAAATTAAAATATTTTAAAAAACACCGAGGCACAGATAAAGTTTTTAACTAAAGGTTTGAAAGTAGGTCAATTCACTCTAATATCAAACCTTGTTAGCATGCTATTGAAACTAGAGAATGAAAATTTGCCGTGTCATAATCGTGTGTAAGATGAAGACAATAAATACATTGGTAGGGTCCTCTTAACCTATTTTTGATTAAATGTTGACCTTTTTCAAACCTTTTTGTGTTTAATAATTTCTAGTGGCTCATTATTTAATTTGGTAAGGGGTAGGGTAGTAAAAAGCTTTACCTAAGGTGTCAAAACCCTACATATGCCTCTGAAAATAAAAACACTTAAAATAGGTAGCCAGGTAGGTTTTTCTTAAATTCGAAAATGATTGTGCACCCATAAAATATTATTTTGGTAATAGGAAATTTGAATTTGAAAAACTAATATTTTATAAGCTTAAGAAATACCAAAGTAATTTTATTGTTGAGTTTTTAAATGTGATGGTATTAAGTTGATTGTATTATTATTACCATTATAATAATATAAAAAGAGTAAAATCAACATAGCCCGAGATTAAATATTTGTTTCGTGAAATTCCATTATTAATTGTAACGTAGGTATTTCTATTTTAATTATTTAGTTGTAAACATAAATTACATTTTATATCTATATTTAGGCATGGAAAAAAATAAGTTGTAGGGAAGTTAATTTGTTTTTAATATATTTTTTAATAATGTATTGTTGTATTTCAGTAAATATTTGATTAACTTTTTATAAAAGTTAAACAATCAAAACGAATAGATATTTAACTGGATTTTATGTTGCGAACATTTTTAACACATACATCTTATGCGTTAATGCTTGTTATAATTACTTACATCGTATTTTTATCACAGAAAAATACCTACCAGTAGATATATTTTTATAGGCGTACAAACGATTACTATATAGAAAGTCAGTAGTCACCCACTTTACGTGCATTCTAATAGCATATACATACCTACACCGATTATTGTAGTTTATAGCACTAGCTTTGTAGATACTAATAAATTACTAGGCACTAGCTCATACATGTAGTGTTCAACATAATAATATGATAAATCGTGTAGGTATAATCAAATTGGTTGGACAGTTTTACTAAAAATTCAGCTAAGGTAATAAATAATGAACCTTTTAACAAGAAAGGCACCATAAAATTTCGGTAGCCCGGGCTGCTAATTTATCTAAGAATGGTTATGTTTACTCAAATGTGTTGTATTTGTATTACAGTGTACATTTTGTACTGCAAGTTTATTATTATTACCGTATCCTAAGTTGTAATACAATAATTTTATTCGATGTAGCATTATAGCATGTACCTATGTTATTAAATAATATTATATTTTTATAATAAATTGTTGTTTTATAAAATGCTGTTGGCGTCTTCACAATATTAAATTTAATTTAACTAGTTCAATATGGCAATTTTTATACAAAACTAAAATTGAATAACTTTTCAATAGTTCAATAATAAATAATAATATCTTTATTTTATTTTTATTGATCCTCTACGGCACCATCTCGATAAGACACAATGCAAAAGTCAGGATCAGCATAGGTTTTTTATTTGGATTCGATTCGTATTTTTCATCCTGACGTTTCCTCTTTGTCAACTTCCGGAGAATGTTTTCTTCTTTCGCCTGTTTAGGAAAAAAACAAACCAATATATTTTTTTCCTAGTCGATAGTGTGGCCATTTGAATGGATTACACCCGACTTGGCGACGCCAGTAGTTGCAGTTCCATTTTTTTTTTATGCCCACAACACATTTTATATTTGCCTTTTATTGTGCACTTTTGTCTACATGTTTTTATTTAATATTTTTTTTTTCACTTATTGCCATCACTGTACAAAGAAAAGCTTGAAATCATTTGCCGCAAAAAAAAAAAGGTTCAAAAAATAATATCAAAATGGTATACCAGTTATATGGTATATGGGTCTAAATTAAAATAATGATTTTTTCCAAAAATAAGTATTTATATTTTATATACCTACTATGAGACACATTAAATAGATTTAGAAGTTTAGAATATTTGTTAGTTTAAAAGATTTTTCTTTAAAAATAAATATTAATCTTTAGGAAGGTACTTATTTATTGTAAAAATAAAATTTTAATTTTAAATAATTAGACTTGATAAAGTAATATGTAATTAGTAATATAC